GCCCCAACGTGCGCTCGGGTGGTGCTCAGCCAGGCCTGGGGCCTGGACATCTGCCTGTCCCTCCTCACGCCTCACCCTTGCCCTTCCCACATCCCGGCCATGGCTGAGGCCACGGCTGAGGTCACACCCAGATGAAGACACGTGGCCACTGTACCACTCGCGAGGCCGCCGTCACCCGGGGATAACCAGAGACAAGTGAAGACCTGTCCAGGGACACTATTCAGTGGCTGATCTCCCCAAGGAAGAGCTGTGCCCTCCACAGCGTGGCACAGACGGGAACCAGCACGGTTCCCACGGACAGCGCGGTCTCCACACGCAGGGCAGGGCAGAGCCACTTCTGAACCGGGCACCTGGTCCAACGTCCACCGCTGGGCACGGAGTTCCCTCCTCTCGGAAATACCCAAGCACACCTGCCCAGAATCTAATTTCTTCTGAATTTAGTAGAAAGAAATAGCAATTTAGAGAAAACAAGAAGGGGGGGGGACTTACTTTGGCTCCCAGAGGGACGGATGTGTAGTTATATCAGGGAGGGGGCTCTTCCTGACCCTGTGGCCGTGGGGTCTCTGCCCGACAGCGTCCACCATGGCCTCCTTCCCGGGATCACCTGCACCCTTCTGCCCACAGGCGGTGTCCATGCCTCCTGAGGCCACTTGTTGTCCCACCAGATGACACAGAAACCTCCCAGGGACCCTGGCTTGGTGTTGGAGGAGGTGGCCCCACCCAGCTGTGCCTTTGCCCCCAGTCTGGGTGGCAAGGTGGCTCTGGGCCTTATGTAGCTGCAGAGCCAGTGTGGCCTGAGCACTCTTTCCAGCTGCAGGCCTTTTGGGGGAGCCACTGCCCCAGTGGTGGACACGTGCTTATCCCATCAGTCTTCCCCTCTGCCCCTGGAGGGACCGCAAAGGTGAGTCCGATCCGTCGCCTCTGCTGTGGGGCTCAGAGGCGCCCTGGTCATCTCTCCAGTGACCATCCATCCACTCATCCAGCTGTGACCGTGGCTTTGGCTCGAGGACCCCCTCGCCCTGGGTCCCAGTCATCTGGGCTGGGGCCCCTGCTCTGGTTCCAGGAGTGGGGCACCTTCCCCCAGGCGGCCTCCCCAGGCCTCCCAGCCCTGGGCCTGAGGCTACGGCCACTTGTGGCTGCGTCTGGTCCTGAATCAGCCGTCCAGGCTCTCGGTCAGGGGAGGGGACACGGCCCTTCGCTGTTGGTCAGTAGTCACCGTCTGTTACCAGGAAGTCATCGGGGACAGAGCAGGCGTCAGGTGCCCAGGCTGCTGGGGCCGCCAGGGCTCAAACCACAGACGCTTCTCTCAGGGCCCTGGAGGCCGGACGGGGGACCCAGGCGTGGGCAGAGGCGCCGCGAAGGACCTGCTTGTGGCAGCGTCACTCAGGCCTCACAGCCTCCTCCTTGGGTGCGGCCTGTCTCCTAGGAGGACAGTCACGGGGGACTGGGGCCCACCCTGCTCCAGTGCAGCCGCGTCTTACCTACACCTGCCACGACCTTGTTTCCTAGCAAGGTCACATTCTGAGGTCCTGGGGGCGAGGACCTCAGCACATGAACTTGGGGGGACACAACTGCACCCGGTGATGCTCGGGGTGTGTGCATGTCACTGCCTCTCGGGTGACGTCCCCTTCATCCCAGGCTGCGGACTGCCCTTGGGGGCCGTCTAGGTCCAACGCAGCAAACGGAGATGAAGGGGTCAGAGGACAAGCCCACCCGCGGACGGGTCGGCCCTCGGGTTAACCACGGGGCTGGCTGGCGCCCGAGGCTGAGTTCCCACCGGGCTGTGGCTCCTCCTTCCTGTGGCTCTGCTTCCTGTCCATGAAAGGAGGGGTCGCCTCGGGTCCAGGGCGCCCTGAGCAGCAGGGGGGGCCGCGAGGGTGACCTCACTGCGCCCGGGGCCCTGAGCTGCCTGAGGCCAGCGGGGAGGCCTGAGACACCAGCCCCCACACAGCCCCACAGGTGTGACCCAGCCTGTGCCTTTCACCGGTCGCTTCACCCTCCGGCCTTTGGTCCCAGGTCGTTGGATCAGGTTTTGGGAATTTCTGTTTCCCTTTGATGAGATCACGAGGACATAACGCACAGCCCACCGGTAACCAGAGGATCCAGGGAAGGCGCCTAACACCCGAAACCCTGCGGACGGTGCTGCCCTGCGGGCTCCAGCTCCCCTTGGGGCAAACGGCACCAGCCTCGCCCCGCACCCTGCTTCCCGACCGCCTCTGCTCGCGGGGCACCCAGGGGGCACCGCC